ATATATATATAATATATATATATATATATATATGAGAGAGAGAGAGAGACCTAAATAATGTGAATGTGCTTTACCGCAAAAAATGTTTCATTTACAATACAAATAGTGTGATTGTTTAAAAATATATTATGATAGTGTGTCACCGAGCCGCCACTTTAAATTTGTCTTTGTATACGTATGTACCTGAGGCTGGAAAGTCACATGTGGGGGCCTGTTGACCACCATGGTGGTGGGGGAAGGGGGGAACTCACCAAGGACTGTTCGGTGAAAGCAATATACAAGGCGAGGGGCATGAAGCATGGGGAGGCAGCCATAACCCACTCAAAGGTTGCTGTCCAGGGTTTAATGGGTGGTGCTGCTGCGGGTTGTACAGGGTCAAGGAAGACACTGCTAGGGGAAGAGGTACCTGCAGCGTTGGAAGTGTGCCCAATATGTATACCCAATGTATTTGTAAGGGGTGTTCACATGTTTGTGTACACGCATATTCACGTTTGTGTGCAAGATGTTTGCATGTGCTTGTGTGAGAGATTTCCCATGTGTATGTTTAAGAAGTTTGCGCATGTGCAATTTGTGAGAGATGCGCGCATGTACAAGTGGGAGAGACGTGCATATTTTTGTGAGAACTGTTTGCATTTAAATGTTTTTGCAAAAGATGCGTGCACGTTTTTATGAGTGTGGGCGCATGTGCATAATTGAGTCGCAGAGGCAGACACGGCATCACAGCTCCCCCAGTGGACACTAGTGAAAGGAAATCTTATGTATTTAGAACACATTCACTTTCGTTGAGCGAGTATCCTCTCACAGCTAGCAGCAGCATTACGTGTACGGACTCCACAGTGCTTGAAGACTTTCTTCTTGTATATCATTCGCGTGGAGAGGCAAGTTCGTCGCGTAGCGCAGCTTATTATCTTTTGCAATAAAAGGGAGACATAAGGGAACTGGAGCCATGCCTGGGAACATGTTACTTCCTCGCTACGCCTCACCCACTCCGCCGGCTCAACTTTCACTCCCACATGAAATAACCAAGTCTTTGTCGTTTGTGTAATTTAAGTTTTCGTATGACTTACGCAACCCTATATTACGAGGTAAATAAAATACATACCATCACTGCTGGCGACAACGGTGACTTTCCATTCATTATCCCTCCAACAGCAACACGAGTGATATTCTCAACCATTGGTTTTATTTTTCTATTTTCTTTTATGTTTGAAATGTTGACTGGGTTTGCGTTCCTCAGATCTGATTAACATATGGGTAAAGCCTTATGTTTTTGTTGCCGTTTTAATGTCTACTGAGTGGTTGAAAGGCCGGGGAAGGCGTTATTCTACAGTATCAGGTAATTTTTTTTTATCTTAATTCCAGCATTCACTGGTAATCCTGGGTGGATGGACAGTTGATTATTTCTTTAATATTTTGTTTTAATATTTGTGCTCAGGTGGTTAGTTCTGTTAATATGGTGCGTAACCACTTGTGCTCAGTAGTTCCTTATACGATGCGTTACTACCTGTGCTTGATTAGCCTTTTTAATATTTTAAAATGCTTTATTATCTTGACAAATATGTGGCTTATGCCACAAGCGGTGAGCTTTTTTTTTAATACATGGCTTTGGTAATCGTCCAGAAAATAATTCATCACGCTGCGAAGACTAGCATTGACTAGTCTGAGCTAATCGGAGATTCCGAGGCCCCGGGTAGGATGAGGATGGCGTTCAGTACCCTATAAATAGATTATAATTATTCGTCTGCCTATCACGGGTATCACCGAGTCACTTCGATAGGAAGAGAGTAAATGAGAATGACATGTTGGCATGTACTATCCCTCTCAGCTCTGAAGACGTTACGACAAACAGATTATCTGGCTTAGCATCCTGTCAGGAGATAAGAGTTTGTGGGTAAGAAATATGAAGGTACAGGATACGACCCGCTGTTCAGGCTGCATGACAGAGTTCCTTCTCTTTTACAGTTTGTTTTTATTCAGTTTAGGATTTAGCTCTTTTTGTAAATAAATAAACTGCTGCTGATGATAATAATAATAATGTTATTGTTATTATGATTATGACAGACCGCAGTAGTTTAACGCTATTCTCTCCCCTCACGCAAAATATTATAGGCATAAAATTATTTCACTGCTAGCGTTTTTGATGGTGTGGTGGTCCAGTATCAAGATCATGTGGGCATTTCTGAAGCGTCATGTTCAAGAGCCCTTCAAAAATCAATGTGGGGCCATTCAGCTCAAGAACTGATGCGGGCTGTCTTACATACGTCTGCTAATTTAAGCCCGTGTGTGGTAATTTCATTACAAAAGGACTTTATGTGCACCCTGATTAGACACTTGACTTCAGTTGCTGGTACATTCTGATGCAGTGTTTTGCGCTAGCTAGCTCTCATATTTAGTGTGAGAACAAACACGCATTTACTAGTTTGCAACTGGTGCCGGTCACACTCGTGTATGTAATGGCTGCTTGCAGTTTGGCAGGCAGCAGCGGTACGGCCAGTGGCGGTGCCAAGTAGGGTGGGGGGGGGGGGGACTGTTAAGACTTCAGCCTCCCAAAATTTCCTTCAGTCCCCCCCCCCCAAAGCCTCTCTGTGATGAAAGTCATCAGTTATTCAACATATTCTTAGGTATAAGCCTCTACTTAGACCAAATATTGGTTAATAGGTCCAGTACGTATATTACAATGGTCTGTATCATATGTTTAGGCATTGGAGCAAATCAGCTAGGGCTTACTTTCTTGTCATAGACAGGTCATTTAACGAATTAAAGAAGCTATTTTCCAACAACTTGTGTAGCACACCGAAGTGTTCATCAGCAGTGAATCATCTAGGACGACTGGGTCGCGGGGGCGTTGACCCCCGAAACACCTTCCAGGAAGGTAAGATGCTTCATTTCTAGAGAAGTCTTGTATTCTGGCGATGGCAGCTAACTATTTTATCAAAAAGGAAAATTAAAGTGTTAAGCATAATCAAGTGCGACGTCTTTTTAGAGAGGAAAAAAACAGGATCATACTGTCACTTCTCCATTTGTATTTACTACTATTGTCAAATCATACTGTGATGCTGGTATGTAGCATGTGATTTTTGTTTCTCCTCCCTGCGACTGACAAAAACTTACTTGAGAAACAACAGTAGTGATAAAAGACCAAGTGATGTTGCAAATATACATATAAATTTGAAGAGCCAAGAGTATGAATTATGAAAGTTTCACTGATGCTTTTACTTCTGTCCACCACAACAAAATAATCACCTTGCTTAGGCTTTTAGTTACCCTGAGCCTTTTATTTGAGAACAGAATGAATATACATTCCTGCTGTATATCATTACATTAATAAGGCTTAAACGAATATCATTATTTTGATGACTTAATGATGTAATCTCATGCAATTATTGTTATTCTTTGATATGTCATTTGTTTTCTTATTTATATAACGTGTGAATAATACATCAAGTAAAAAACAGTGTGCTTGCTCTGCAAACAGTCCCCTAGCCTTCCCCCTCCAAACAGACAGCCACTCCTAAACTCCCCAATATACAAATTCTGGAGCCGCCCCTGGTTGCGGCCTAATGTACCGAGTCACTACATAATGATCATTACTTGGCCTTACATCACGATCAGTTAGAAGAGCCCTGTGGCAAGCAAATACTATCCTCAGTTCCATGAGTAGGTATGATCAGCCCCTGGAAGCCATTAAAGTAAACCATGTTGATAGTGGTTATGAGAAGGGGGCAAGTGACAGTCATTCACAAATTCAATATTAAAGATGAGAGAGCTCTATTCCTGGAGCTACACACAAGGGTAGTTTAACATTGCTTGGTTGAATACTTAGCGAGATAAGACGTATTGAGGTAAGATTTTTTTCCCTTTTTAACAACGTGGGAATTCCTGGCTGTTTTAATACAAGTAATAACCTTGTTTAAATCCGAAAGCTTATTTTATCAGGATGTACTCACTTGGGGAAACCCGCAAACACTTCACCACACAGCCCACCTCTCACAACTACATGCGTGTAATCTTAACTTCAAAAAACTATATTGAGAAACACTAAGTGTGAAGCTGTTTTGATTCATATGCTCTGACCGCATACATCGCAAAATGCATCAACTTCTTGTTCAATTGAAGATAAAAACTCGACTCAGCTTTGCCTTTGTTCAAACTAAGCGCCATTGTAGTTTAGTTGATCAAACATCACTCCCCGAGAATCCTTACACACATTTACTGTTTAATGATGATGTGGGTTGTCTCTTCTCATTCTCTCTCTCCTGTGTGTGTGTGTATACATCATATATATATAAATAACTGTATACTAAAGTCACGGTAATTGTATGCTAAGAACCATCATTGATTGAGCAGTCCAAAAAAATAATGTGAATATTTTTTTTCTTAAGACCCCCTTTTGTCCTTCAGGTGAGATGAGGGACTTCTCTATTTCAGATAACATTTCACTGGCAGGGCTTGTATGGCGAAACATAATCTGAAATAAGAGTTTGCACCCTAGGTTTCACCTCCACATTGTCGTCGGCACTTTATGCTTTTTTGAACCTAGTGTATTGTGGGTTGCGAGGGTATAATTGGAAGGAAACAGGTGCCACCTGAGTTGGCTATGTTGGTGGTGCCAAGTCCAGCAGGAAGCTATACATATTTTTTTCATTTTTAAGGTGTGAATTACCATATGGGGAATGATATTTTATGCATAGTCTACAGTAGTTTATCTCGTCAGGATGATTTTTGCAAAATCTATTGCAAGTGACTTAAAATATAATAAGTAAAGTACTAGGGGTAAATATATTGCAAATATCAAAAGGTACTACTGTATTTGGAAAATTATATTGTTCATATTATAGTGTTTACTTTTTGGGGTATTATACTGATGAACTTTTATTTATTTTCATATTACAGTACTATGTACTATATGTAGATAATGACATGGAATACAGTATTAAATTTTATATTAACCAGAGTATATGCTACTTTACTAATTATGAAATGTTTCCACTATTTTCTAGGTCAGCTCTACAGACGCTACACAAATCTAGTTCCAGAGCTCAAGATGCTCACTACTTCCTGGGTGGTGTCAACCATGACTGGGTGGGGTATTATGAACGTGGCATGGGTTCTGATCAGTCCTGCATCAATGAATGGAATGCCATGGACAGCCTGGAATCTAAGCGGCCCCCTTCACCGGACTCCCTCACGGATAAGTAAGACCCACATTACGTTTGTGTGACTTTTGAATTTAATTCTGGTTAAATATTTTATAAGCCATTGCCTATTTCCTAACAAATTAGCCTGTCAGTTAATAACTGTTTTCATACATCATCAATTACAGTGGTACCTCGAGTTTCGAACAGCTCCCAACTTGAACAATTATGTAAGTGTATTTTTGTAAGTGCTTTTATAAGCGTATTTTTGGAGGTCTGAAACGGACTAATTTAATTTACATTATTCCTTGTGGGAACAAATTCGTTCGGTATCAGCACTTCTGGAACGAATTAAGTTCGTAATTCAAGGTACCATTGTATTAAGCTGTGAATATTTTCTGCTGGGTTCACTAGGCCCAGTAATTAAATTTAATTTGTGTACTGTATAATCTTTCAAATATATGTGTACAGTAACTGGCGATTCGGTAAAGGTGTACTTATTCTGCAACTTGTCCTCTGCAGGGAAGAAACACAGCTTCTTATTCGCAGTAAATTGAAAGAAATAATGATGAGTGTTGATATAGATGAAGTCACCTCTAAATATATACGTCAAAGGCTTGAAGAAGACCTGGCAATGAATCTTTTCAAATTTAAATCCTATATTGACCAAGAGATGCTAGTCATCTTGGGGCAGATGGATGCAGCAACAGAAATCTTCCCACATGTTTACCTTGGATCAGAGTGGAATGCTTCTAATCTAGACGAGTTACAAAGCAATGGGTAAGAATTATCAAGTAATCTGTGTGTATGGTGTGTGTTTGTTTTGTGTAGCATTAAATCACATTTGGACATAAAGAATGCATTTTATAATTATCAGCATATAATTGATACAGTGTTATGTCATATAAAGCACTTTTTGGTAAGTGTCTGGTATATAATTTAAGGATTTTTCTTAATAGTTTTATCTCCCATTAGGGTGGGTTACATCCTCAATGTAACTAAGGAGATTGACAACTTTTACCCTGGAACATTTGACTACCTCAACATTCGTGTGTATGACGATGAGAAGACAGAGCTCCTTAAGCACTGGGACAGTACCTTCAGATATATTTCACAAGTCAAGTGAGTACCAAGATTATGAAAATTGTACTGATGATTGCTTGGTATACAGTATATACAAAAGTAAGATGCAATGCCAAAGTCATTTGAAACCATTGGTTATCTGATATTTAGTTTAAGAAAAATGTTGAATAGTATACTGTAGATTTTGGCACTGTTGTTGCATAATGTCAGCAAGAATTTAGGAGTCTTTAAAATGTAATGATGTAACAAAAATTTTGTAAAATGAGAGTAAATTTTTCTGTGTGCAGGGAGAAGGATTCTAAGGTTTTAGTGCACTGCAAGATGGGAATTAGCCGTTCAGCATCAGTAGTGATTGCTTATGCCATGAAGGAATTTAATATGACACTAGAAGAAGCTCTTGCGCTAGTTAAGAAGAAGAGGACCTGTATAAAACCAAATCAAGCATTTTGCAACCAACTTAAAACATATGAGGTTAGTAGTACTGTCCTTATTTAAATATAAATATTTTGTACTTTATTAATGTGTGATCTAACATTGAAATATATTTTCAAAGTTTACACGGTGTCTCTGAAATAGGGAAAGCATGAGATAAAGCTCATTTAATTTTTTTTAACACCGGCCATTTTCTGAGGTAGGGTGGCCTGACAAAAAAAAAAAAAAAAAAAAAACACTGTTACTGTCACTCGTTCAACCACTGGCTTACCACAAGTGTGCTGACTTTACAGTTCAGATGACCCTCCAAACTACAACATCCCCACCCCTTCTTCCCACCTCCAGGACTCAAGTCCATCTAACAGGTTTCTCTGAATTCTTTCATGAATGTTACCTTGTCACATTTCAGCAGCACATCAAATTATAAAGACTGTGTGCCTCTACCAACTCCTAAGACACACACACAAGCCTGTTGGAAGTCCAAGTCCCTAGCAAAATTTTATGAATGAAAATAATTTCAGGGAAGAGCCTAATATAAAAAGATATAAGAAAAGTGTCTGGGCCAACAAACTCATGAATGAATTACATAAAAATGTGTGATGATGTTGATGTGCAAAATTGTCTAATGTAATTAGGTTTGATCTAGGGAAGGAGAGGATAGCTCTATTTCTTTGGATCAAGAACCCATCACTTGAAGGATTTGGATATACAGTTTCTATCTATACCTTCCTTTTCATATATTACCCTGGGCCCTTATCAAGTCACAACTGAGCAAGTGTGGGTTATTTGTGAATTATTCTAACCATAGTATTGGGACTTATTCTTCGTACCTTCCCATGTCAAAGTGTTCTAATGACCACTGTCAGTGCTCCTAAATATTTTGTACTGTATATTTTGATCACATCCCCCAAACTCTGTGTTCTACGGTTTAGTTCCATTAACATAATTCCTTGCCTTGATACCTGTGAGAGGATTTTGATTCAAGGAATTGGCCCTAACCTTCCTTTCCTCAGATTGAACCCTACTGTCTCCCATTGCCCCAGTCGCTTTATGACCAAAGGATTTAGCCCTCCCTCCACAAATGTAATAGCAATTTCCTTGCAGTTTATTTCCATGAGCTCCAGAATAAACCTGGTTGCAAACTTATGGAATTTCATGAGCTTCCATAAAACCTATTTGAGTCTGGAGAGAAGGGAGATGATAAGTGAGCTCTAGCTCACTTATCATCTCATATCTATTATAACATCTATTATAATCCCTGCATGAAATCTGCTTCCATTTCTTTACCATTCAGGCTGCTGAAGTGTTTGGGTTATCATTGTGGTTCATTTGGGTACACAGTTGCCAGTCATGTGCCTATGTTCTTGCCTAGCCAGCTCTTGGCTCTGGAGTATATTCTTTTATGATCAGTCTTTTTTTTTTTTCCAGAAACAGACTTAGCTCTGTCTTTCCTCATAGCTTATTCCTGTTCAACCCTTAGTACCCGTTTGAATTTGCTGCTATGGACCTTCTAAAGTTTCAAACTGCATTTGACAAGGCAGGGGTTCTACACTAGTATTGCTTTATCAAAAATTGGTCTTTGGTATGAAAGTGTCTTAAGCATGTCTTTATTCAGGTTTCTCAATGTCATCCTTATACTTATTATTAAATTCATGGGGGCACTAAACCCAGAGGGGTCATAGAATGCTTGGGGTGAATGGAAAACACTTAGGTTTGATTCAAGGAATGGGAGGTCATATCCAGTTCCTTGGATCAAGAGCCCCTCTCCAGCATATTGGAACCTTCCTTGAGGAGACTCATGAGTTTAGCATGTGATGCTGATGTTATTCTGTTAGTGTGCACTTCATGGGACAAGTTTATCTTTTTTCTTGACTGTTTCTAAGTTAATAATAATAATATAAATAATCAAGTTAAGCAGAAACCCTGAAAGAGTCATGCAGTATTTCTGTGAGTAGTACCTCCTCTGATGGGAAAGAAAAGTGTCTGTGGTCTACTTTCTTCCCACAGTTTTATTACTTTACTTTTAATTTGGTTAAACTCTACTGGCCACCTAACTGACCATTCCTGTAGTCAGTTCAGGTCCTGCAGCCTTGTCCATTTGTGTTCTCTGCATTATTGTGATATCATCCATAATTAGTGATAAGTACACAAATAACCTACACATACGAGAGAAACTGATGATAACATTTTGTTCTAATTTGGACCATTACCAAATCAAGACCAGGCCATGTGTATGTATTAACAGGCCATGTGAGTGTGTATTACTTGTTCATAAGTGTCTTGTGTTATGTGTTCAATTGAGTGTTGCCTGTTCATGAGTGTGTTTCTTGTTTATGTGTGTGTTACCAACTCATAAATGTGTGTTATTGGTTCTTGCAAGTGTTATCTGTCCATATTTGTTAATAATCCAAATCAGACCAATATGCCATCTCCTATGTGCAGGATATATGCGTATTGTTCCAGGAGTTTACTCCTGATAATGAGGTATTAATATGCAGTACACTAGGAATACTATAGGTTTCAGTATGTGAGTGAATTTTAAAAATTAATTTTAATTACACGTACTGTAAAGTATTAGACGTATGTGGTAGATAAAATACTATACCTCTATTATTATTATTATTTTATATTGAATTTTTTTTTTGTCTTCAGGGGATTCTTGATGCTAGTAGACAGCGGCACAATATTTTGTGGCGGAGTAAATCTGAAACAAACCTTAAATCAGCTTCAGCACAAGCTAACAAACCAAATGTCAGAGGTTGTCGAAACAGTCATCTAAGTGATGATGTGGATCACAGTAAGAAGGGTAGTAGACGCAAAAGTACAGAAGAAATGACATTCGAATCTACTTCCAACTCCATAAGTCTTCGTGTTCCCACTCCTTGTAATCTTCATAATGGTGACCAGCATCGACGGCCAAAATCGTGGTCTCCTGATGATCACACTGCTGGGTTGCTATTTCCACAAAATATGGAAGAAGGTAGGCCTTATTATTGTATATATTTGGCTTTGTATATGTATGACCCTTATGGGTTTAGCACTTGGTTATAATAATTGGCTTTGTATATTTTTGTGTGAAACATAATGGATATAGACTGAAAAAATAAGCCTTAAAACTTTATAAAGATAATGTATAATGAATCTGATGTTTTGCAAGAATTTCAATAAATTTCAGTATCTTAAATTACAGGTGGAAATGATTTGGGAGATTCATGGCGACTATCTCAGTCACTCAATGTGCAGTCATGGCGGGCTCATGTAACACTGCAACAAAGGGATCTTCGCGATATGAGTGTTGAAGGCTCGGCTAAAGATAAACAAGAAGATGAAGTATCTTTACCTGTAGTAGAAGCACTCAATCCTTTGTACACTGACAACCCTACTGGAAGTACAATTAATGAAGTTTCAGCACTCCAGCTGTCTTCCTCGGTTAAGGATAGGATCAATGAATTTGAAAATGTACAAAGTACTAATCAAACTATTACTAAAAAAGCACAAAATGTGAAGAAAGGTGACATAATACACATACAGAACACAGTCACATGTAGTGATGATTTCAATACTCATTCAAGTACTGCTGAGCTAGATAAAGTCATTGAAACTTTACTTGCACCAGGTGAAGACTTACAAGACAGTGAACCAGTTGTTTCACAAACTAAGCCAGCTGCCCAGAAACTCCAGGCTGTGTTAGTTCCATCCCAGATATGGCTAGAAGAAAAGTGTGAAGTGGAGGAGAATATGGACATCACAGAGAGTCCTGTGGGTGTAACAAAAGAATCAGTTACATGGCCTGCAGGCATTGTAAAGAGACAAAAGCAAGACTTTGAAGAAAAGGTAAAAATTAATGATGTTAAATCAGGTCCAGATAAGGAGGTTGACTCACCTATTTCAAGACAAAGTTCATCTGGCTCCTTGAGTGGTCAGTTACAAAAAGTTGAAATAATTAGATCACCAAGCTATGGACGTCAGGACTCTGTAGGATCTGATATAGTTAAAAGGGATGACCCATTCTCTGTAAAACTTGACAAGGTATTTGACAGAGAGGAAAGAAAACAGCAGAGAATGAGTACTGTTATCCCTAATGGAGGAGATGTGAAAGACACTCCGTCACGTAATAGTTCATGGGGATCTTTCGATAGTGCTGTGGTTCTTGCAGATAGAGATACTCCTTCTAGACAGAGTTCTTGGGGATCCTGTGATACAAGAGGAACTGTAGGTACTATACCTTCCAGAAACAGTTCTTTTGGAACATTTGATATAAAGCAGCAGCCTCTTAGAGAAAATTTAGAGATAGTAATACTAAATAGCAATTTAGCAGGGACTTATTTTGAGAAGGATCCGGGGCCATTTTCACCAGGAACTATTAGAAGAAACAAAGGAAGGAATTCTGACAATAAAGAGGGAATAGGTGATGATAGTAAAATACAGTCAAATGAAATTGAAAATTTTGAAGATGGAATAATGGAAGATGCCTTTCAATGCAGACCTGTAGCAAATGTAAAAGCATATGGGCCTGCTCCATATAAAAGTCCCATAGAGAGAGTCACTCCTATGGAAATAACTGATGAAGGAATGGTAGAAACCTCAGATGGTTTCTTAGACCACCATCAGAGCACACCTACATTAAATATTTGCATTCCAGATAGTACAAATCCCTCAACCCTAACTAGATCACAACCTAATATATCATGCACAACTATATCTCTGACACAGGGATCAGCTCCCTTGTCTTCTAATATAGATTTATCTGGGAATGACAGCTTAAATAGTAATAAAAGAAATTCTGTAACTGAAGAAGTTCCTCTACCTGGAACTGTAAAACAACACAAGGAACTTCTAGAAAGTAAAAGTCAAGAAGGAGCTTTTTCAGAGTTGAGAATAAACCAAGAGAAGCTTCCTCAACCAACTTACACTCGCTCCCAGAGCTACTGTGACCTTGAAATGGAAAAAACTGAAGTTGGTCTTCCTCATCATCTGGGTCGTAGTTTTTCAGAGAAGAGAGCTAAATTTGAGGGACAATTAGAAAGTGAAACTGAAGGGGGTAAGGTTAAGAAAATTACTAGAGCGCTGGAACAACAAAATGAGGATGACAAAATAAGACTCTTTAGAATGAAAGGCATTAGAAAACGATCTCACAGTTTAGAACGCCTTAGTACGTCTCCTACATCACCAGGCTGCTCCCCAAGGCAATTATTAGAACAACTATTAGTTCAAAAAAAAGAAAGTCCATCTGAAGAAATTTGTGTTAAAAGTCTTGTAGTAAAATTTGAAGATCCTCAAGAACAGAGAGTACCTAAAGTTCAGACAAGAAGTGTAAGAGCAAAGTCTGATAGTTCCACACCTGACAAGTTCCTACCACCTGTACCTCAACGTAAATCCAGTCTAGACTATAATTTTAAGCCAGCTCTCCGAGCACAGTCTCAGCCCCCCCAGACTCCAGTGAGACAAATGACCCCAGGAGGTAGTTTGTCTCCTACAGTAATGCCCCCTTCTCATAAGCCTCCACCAGGAGGGAGAGGCCAAGCATGTGGAACAGAAGTGCGACAAAAGAAACAGCAGGGTAAGACTCATCCTCTGACCAAATTAACAAGAACAAACAGGGAGAATTATCATACTATGTAAAGTGATATTAATTTTACCACTATGCTACATTTGAGGATGCTGTTACATATGCTTCCATCTTTGAAAACCACCTTGTGATATGTAGATTAAGGATAACCTTGGCCACTTTCAGAGGAGGTACAGATACCCGGTATAAAACTCGAGGATGTGCAGATACAATGATGAATCTCATATAGAGAGATAACTTGTACTGTCAGTGGCTGCCAACTTCCAGATCACTAACTCCTGTGCCTCTTAGTAGAACACATCTGCTGGTTCATGGGAGGTGGCTCAGTCATTTTTGTTTAAAAACTGTAAAATCTCCCATCAGATGAAGAAATGAAATGCCATCTTTTACTTACCCATGAACTGCAGAGTAGCTAATGTGGTTCTTCCTGGTATCTTGTATACACATTGCTAGTCGTGAGAGTAGGACCATAATTCAGGATATCTAAAGAGTGTGCTATATGGAAATGACGTAGGCAGAAATTCTGAAGCCTCACCTCTTTACAAAATGATTGACCACTTATGGCAATTGCTTAATATAAATAGCTTTTGGAATTCCATTGCTTATTTTAAACAATCCTGTCCTAAAAATTTATGGAATAATAATACTTTGTTACTCATGCCAGTATATTGAGGCACTTGCCAAGATCTTTATAGCATTTTCAGAGCTATTGTGTGTTGCTTCAGAATTCGAAAAGTAGTAAATTTCATCCTACGTTTTTCTTCCATGTGGAAATTCATTTATGATGTGTAACTTCTTAGTAGTACACAACTTGTGATTTCCACTAAGGTGTGCTAGTCCCCACTGCTGTATCTATTTTCTAGTCTTTCTGAAAACTTGTAATTCCTTTCTGCAAATGTTTAAAATATTAGGAGTGTCTTTTTCCATGACAACTCAAGTGTGTGGCAACTATTTTCCAAATTTATTATTCATCACTGTATTTACCTTGTATTGCAATGTGTGAAAGTATATTCATGCTAGTTGGCCACCGGGTAATAGTACATGGTGTTTGAACAATTTTCTGATTTAATATGCAATTTGATTTCATATAACAGGTCCCTTCAGTATCTAGCATCATAGATATGTGATTGTGATGTCCCAGCTTATTCAAGGTGTTTAGGAATATGACAGATTGACATTTTATATCAATTTGTAGATAATTTTCTATTAGTATAAAAAATACTATAGCAAATTACAAAACGATGTTCAATCCTGTCTTTTTCAACTAATTTGTAGCTGGTGTCAGTAGACATTCCTCCTTTTTGCTCAATTACGATGACTTGCATTGATTGTGTCATCCTTATATCTTGTTATGTTTATGAATGTGTACTAGACCAGTTCATGTTTTATTACAGTTTAATTTTACAATACCTAAAATTATGCCCTAGACCAATCACTTATCCCACCCTATTTTTAATTGTCAGTTCATGCTAAATCAGAGCTAAAGATAACTGAAGTTGTAAATATGTGATAGTGTTTGTATGTAAGGATGTATGGAATAAGATGTGACCCAGGCCAACTGCTCCAAGTGTTGCCATTATTCATCATCCAGGGTCAGGTTAAACAGGCTTTAGATTTTTCAGGACCTAAGCCATCATAAGTGTTATTAGTGCTTGTAATTTTTAATTGTATAAATTAAAACCTATTCTATAAAGATAATGTTTGCTGGAAAACAAGGGTGTCATTTTTTTTTCTGTATGGTCACTGTACAAATCTGTATGGTAACAGTGTTCCAAAGGGCATTCACACCCTCTCAAAATTTAAATATTTGGTTGAAATGAGAGAAATGTATTATTACATAAGCACAATTAGATTTCAGCATTTCACACATTATGACACTCAAAACGTTTTAAACATCAGTTTACTTCATATCAGGAATTCAGGATTCTGTATATAATACATTACCCAACATTAATTTTTTACACTTTTTGTCATGCCTTTTAAGCAGAGCTTGCAGTTTTCCTTATAAAGCAAATGTTTTGCTAAACATGCAATGTCAATTCATTGTTGCAGTTTCAAAATTAGTCTGCATATCACAATATTAATAAATTTAATTGATGTTAGTATTATCTAACTTAATATTGACCAAAGATGTTATATTACATTAATTTTAACAAGGTTAGTTTGTCAAAGTTCAGTGCAAAATTGAAAGTTAATTTGTCATTTAATTAAAAATTGTATAAAAGTGAAGATTTATTTTAAAACATTTTGGGCAGTTTGTTTTTGCCTACACATTAAAATTACACTATTGTTTATAGTAATGCACCAACAATGTATTTTTTTCTTAGCTGTTGTGTGTTAAGGAAATAGTCTTGGTCACCTAACTTTTAATATTTTGTAAAGACTGGTTGATCATTCTGACTAATGTTTTGAATGTGGCTGTCCTTGATAATCATTAGGCTCTCCTGTTCTGAATGAAAGATTTTGTGTACCCTCTTTACTGTCATTTACTTTGTCTTTATAGTGATATTGTAAATATTTTCAAGTTGTAACTTTCTCCTTGTCATAATGATATTGGTGATTTACAGTGTAATTTATGTATAACAGTGGTGTGCTATATTTTGTATATAATTTGTACAAGAATCTAATTTATGATAATAAAATAAACGTAAATTTTTTCTTTCTTTAATCATTTAATTATTGGTAGCTAAACATAAGAGTATACAAGTTTAGTCTTACTTGCTGTGCACAATGCAAAGTTGCTACACTCTCCCTATAAAATCCGGAGGACAGTTTTAACATTCCCCTAAACCCTCTCACTGTCTCCCTCATTAGAGTATACCACAGCATCCTCACACATGCTGCATGCAGTAAATTTTGGCCTAGACATGAGAGAAAGGATCTGTGAGCACTGTGTGCAAACTACTTTGAGCCCAATTTCAAGCTACTTCTAGTCCAAAACTGTATGACCTTTGTGGGCTTGGCTTAGTGCTTAAGTTTTAATAATTCTAGTACATTATTATTATTATAATCAAGGGGGAAGCGCTAAACCCGGAGGATTATACAGCGCCTGGGGGGGGATGTGGAAGTCATTCAGGCTTAATTCGGGGAACTGGAGCACAGATCCAATTCCCTAAATCAAGAGCCCCTCACCAACATCAAGGAACCTTCCTTGAGGGGCAATTCTAGTACAAAAGCCAATGAAAATCATCTCTACTTCAAATGCATGTATCTTCCATTCTATCAGATACCAAGAAACAAAACCATGAAAACCATCCCAGAAAACACCTCAAAGTTGCCATTTTCCCATTATGCACTGCATGGGGCAGGTTTTTTTTTTAATACTACACATACTCAATGTACAGACCATTTCTCTCCTATCTAGGCCAAAATTTACCACTCAGCTTATCTGAGGGAACTGAGTCCAATGTATATCTATGTAAGCAACCTGGCATCAATAATGTAGGACGAGACAGTAAAAGGGAAAATGCACCGAGTATTTTCTTCAGTTTTTTTATACAGGCCTGTATGACCCTTGTGGGTCTAGTACTTAGTTTTAATTAATTCACAAGTTAAATGAATATTTTAAAATATTAGTTAGGCAAAGAAAATAATATTTAGTAGACGTGGAGCTACTGCTAGTGATTGGGAAAGGAGCTCGTGAAAGGTCTATGGCACAGGCTACCAAGACTGCCTAAATTTATGCTATGCTGATGTTTTCACATTTTAGCTCATTACATTTTTTCAATAGTGTTAAACAAAATCAAGAAGTCTGAGTCCATGTTACTCAATGGTCTACCATACTGAATTTTTTTTGGTTGCACTTAACATATCTTAAAACAAAATTATACAAAACAAGGTCGTGTAATACGAGGGTCTACCATACAATTCATGGGAAAGTAGCCTTAAAAGGATGAATTGCCAAAAAATGCAGTACCAGCCTAATGTGTACAATGGCTTACTGCTCAGGAAACTTGAACGATTCATATGAATACTAATACTCTACTGTTCCATCATATCTTGTGTAAAGTTCTAAAAATCCACAATGAATATGACAAATGAAATAAAAAAAAATTGTCTAGGAAGCAAACAGGGCCAGAGCTTAATGATTTATTAACATTATATGACAACAGACTGAAAAGACAAGGCTCCAAAGCCATAGAGAACCATGTTTCTTGACTGCAATGCAGAATTAACTTAAGAACATGCAGTATACCAATGTGGATGGACCTTCTGCTCCTCCAGCGAGTGGCTGGAAATTTAAATAAAATGAGGGAGAATAAAAGAGACGTATACAGTACAGGCAACAGTTATCTCCATTCACTTTGCTCTTAGTATAATCACACAACTGGTGGATCCTCCAGCCTCTACCACTTAAAAAACCAGTTTGTTTACTTCCATTTCAACCAGAAGTACAGGACAACAAAATGTAAGCTTGTTTAGTATGTACCTACAACCAAGAGAAATAAATAAATGACAATTCTTGGGTTTAATGGACAATGAAAAAGAAGCAAAAGTCAGGAACAGATGAGCATAGAAAAAATACAGAAAATACCCAAACCAGGGAATGCAATAGCTGGTGAGAAAAAATTACCTTCGAGTAAGGAAGAAAGCAAAATAAAAACATGAACACAGACAAGCTGCTTCACAGCCTCATCAAAAAGAAAATGACAAGGAATCAATTAATAATCCTGGAGAAAAAATGAGGGACTTTCTAACAGACAACATTTGTCATATGCAATATTCTAAATAAAAGATTTCATAGTGTAGATAAAGATACTAGTGTACTTTTTAAAACATTTAAAGGAAAAGCTTGCTATGAGAGGCTTCTTCATTCCTAATAAGACCTTAAGCAGTAGGTTGTGACAAGTAGTAACAGTAATATTAGGTATGAATGCTGAGTGTAGATCACTCAGCATTCACACCAATAAAAAATTACAAAGACACATGCCCACACACGTGCTCACATAAAAAAAAAAAATGGGTATATAGCAAAGGGGGAGGGGACTATTTTCCAAAGTAAGACTTGAATAATGATGCATGATGTTACCATGATTATTTAACATTTTTAGATTAGGTGGCAAAGGAAGTGAATGGCTAGGGTGTTAGGAAGAGGTGTGGGATTATAATATGTCGATCTGATAGAAAGTAGGAGTTATCACATTTGGTCTTTGTTAATGACAGTTCTTTTGTGGGATTCTGAAGGCAGGTTACAAAGGTTGGTGAGCAAATTTGGGAGGGCATGTGAAAGCAAGAAATTAAAAGTGAGAATAGAAAAGAGCGAGTTAATGAAGGGTAACAATAGATTTAAATAATAATAGGTTAAATAACAAACTGGAGGCAGTATGGAGGAAGTGGATGTAACTGGATATCTGGGATTCTACATGTGGAATTAAATTAGTTTATCTATAGAGGCAAAAAAGGTAATGTACCAGAGTATAGTGGTATCAACAATTTTATAAGGGTGTGGGGTATAGATTTTGAATGTTGCAGTGAAGAGGCTAGAACCAATGGAGACGTCATGTTTGAGAGCAATGTGTAGTGTGAATATCATGCAGAGAATCTGAAGTATAGAAATTAAATGATGATGTGGGGTTAACAAGGGTATAATTCATAGGGCTGAGAAGCCGTTGCTGAAATGGTCTGGGCATGTAGAAAGGATGGAGAAGGATACGCTGACAAAGAGGGTACGTATGTACATCTGGAGATGGATGGTAAGAGGGGTAGGGATCATCTGGGGAACGGCTGGATTGAGGGGGTAAAAGAAGCTTTGAATTTTAGGGGCTTAAGCATCCATCAGGCTTGTGTGAGAGTGCTAGAAAAGAGTGAATGAAGACAAGTAGTTTTCAATGGATAAGCTGTTGGAGTGTGAGCAACATAACTTTTATGAAATGATGCAGGGAAACCAGTCAGCAGACTTGAGTTCTGGAGATGAAAAGGGAAGTGCTTGCTCTCTGAAGGAGGATATCTATATTGTGAAGTCAGCACACTTCTGGAAAGAGCATGACCCCTATCACCCTTGCTCTGGAAACGTACACCATTCCTTGCATAAATGTCATGTTTGCCATAAAATTTATCCTAGTTGTCAAATGGAACTAAAAGTTCATTACAGTACTTTCTGGCCAGCAACTGACACAAACTGTCCTTAAGCCATAAACTTCCATTTCTTACCCACTTCTTAGAGAAAATATTACAATTAGGATCCCTCCTTTTAACTCTATTAATTCATTAGTTCTCCTGTATTTGGCAAGCCTGTCCTCTCTCCTACATTTAACTACATCACTCCCTTTAACCCTGAGGTAGATAATGGGGGTGCTCCTGTTACCTGACATGTTATTTATCTAATATGCTAACTGTATCATCCATACCAGCTCTGAGGAATAATAATAATAAAAAAAATATATATATATATCTTGTCCCCTGTCCCTATTACAGAATGCTGTCCATGCATCTAATTTGTAAGTCCCCAACAATGAGTATGTCCTTACCTTTATTAGTAGGGGTAGTCGTACTTTTCTCCTTGCTGGCCACAGGACACTCTTCATTAAATAAAGCAAAGCTATTTCTATTCTTCAAGCCACTTTTTTTTTTTTAACCTTCCCCAATCTCATTCTTCTCCCTTTTCTGCAAACCACCTCCATTCATTCCTCAACATTTTTTACCTTTTGTTACTGCTAGCATGTTTACCTCTGCCACCCACTCTAGATGAAATTTCATGTCTTATTCTTGTTTACCATTCTTTATCCCTGCTTGTAAAACAACAATGCTCCTCCAAGCTTACAGAGCAAGCCATGTTACAAACTATAACACTACACCCAAATTCCCACATAACACTCAGCCACAGGACAGGTAGCACAACTTCCCTCAACCACTGACCTCATCACTTGTAGGTGAAATGCCATATTTAATAAAAGGTCTCATTAGTTTATTGCATAGCTTATCAATACAAATCACATGGAGCCATGTCAAATATGGTTGCCATATGTAATCAACTGATTTAGTCACATGTGAAAAACCTTAGTATAACACACCCCTATGCAATGTATTTCAGATAAAATGGGCAAACATTCTGGCCATGAAAAGTACTGGGTTCACGGCATGGGAGGTGTCGGGTAAAATTATCAATGCAGTGGACCAAGCCCACTGTATCACTTATTTGTTCTTATGGGAGGCATCCAGTAGTACCATCAATGAAGTAGATCAAGTCCTCTTTGTTGCAGGTTTGCCATGTATGGGTTGCAACTGGGTCACTAAGACCAGCCTGCGTCGGTTTTTTGTCTACCTGTGCGCTCACATTCGATTATTTGGTCTTTGATTTTCCATGGACTTACAGTATTTATATTATTTCATTTTAATATAATGTAGTGTTATTAACGATAGCCTCTAAACCAAGTGATGGTGGCAAGAAGGGTGTCAGTCTGAGTGTGAAGCAGAAACTTGAACTTAATAAGTAAGGTGGAGTTTGACGTTTCCTCAATCATCTACGCTACCGAAGCATCTACATCTCCCATACCATCTACATCCCACAGTATCTGCAATGTTACTGCTTCTCTGACTCAGAATAAAAGTTACTAAGAGCAACCACTAGAAAACATAAGAATATGAGCTTACATACTGCAATCTCGTATGTCTACCAAAAGAGGCAAGAAAAATGACTGTACTCTACCATACTGCACTTTTAACTTATTTTCTCCTAAGGTAATTTACAGTATTGTATTGTATTAGCTTGTCATGTAGGTTAATGCCATCAGTGGACCAAGTCTGCTGCACTGAGTGGCTGTCCATGAATACAATAACTACAGCATGTCTGCTGCAATAGTCACTTCACTGCAATGAAATTTCATTAAAGTGGGCACCCACTCTTCCCTATTAGTCTGTTCATTCTTTACTGCCTTAAAATATAAGCATTCTCCTTGCTATTTTAAGTGCTACAAAAAAAGTTGTTTCATGCTCCAAAGTATTTTTTTTGTTAGTATTTATCATTTCCTAGAACCTTTCACTAACACTCAGATGTATTTATTAGGGTTAATATTACCATGTAAAGTATTTTTTATATCTTTAGCATGTGTTAGTGTACAGTACATTAAGCTCACTCACTTGTATGCATAATAAATTTATATACAGTATTCAATGAAATAAATTCATTAATTAGTTTTACATCCAGTATAAAATCTGCTTGAAATGCTATGGTATAATTAAAAGCTTTTTCATTTTGGGAATAAACAAAGCTGTACTTTCTTGGAAAATAAAATATTTATTATTTATCTGAAGTACTGCATGCTAAACATGAAAGCAAAGATTACAATAAATATCTAAAGACTAAAGTTACTACTGCAATACTTTAATCATTTTTACTAATACGTATATAGAACCAATCCTTTTCAAGCATAGTATGTTTGCTATATCAAGCAAAATTTTTAATACCTCCATAATGAGGCACTAAAAGAGCAGTAACGAGGGGCCAAAACAGCTTGTATCTTATTTCATCTTTTCTAGAGTATTAGCAACTGACAAAACACCATTTATGTTGTTATGAGTACACTGCATAAGCAATATGTAGATATAAATTATGATTAAAATTATTGACAACACATTAGCTACAAGGACAAGAGTAACTAATGAAAAATTTATTATGGAGATGTAATAACTCTCTCATTAGCTGCCAGAGTCCTTTTGCCTAACAGATAAAAATACATATAGAGCATTCCTAAAGAGTTTCGGAATTGCATGAAGTCACTTTTTAGCAACAAACTGAGATTATACGATTAAGAAATTTTTTGAAAGTGTTACTGCATGACTTATTAATGTACATAGATACATGTACATTGTACAAGCCTTTTCCTTCAATATTCAAATAACCAAAAAATGTAGTTGATAAAGAAAAGCCGAGACACTAAATCTGACATAATGCAACGTAAGCAATGAAAACTAATATTAAAATACCTGTATTGTATAGCAATGAGTGTGCACTTCTAAACCAATAAAGTGCATTAATACTTGGATCTTGATAATTGCTTAACATTTATGGAATTAACTGCAACAATAAAACCACTTTTTGGGAAATTATTTCCTTGAAGTTCATTGGCTAGAGACAGGTCCAACATCAACCATAACAGGAATATTAAGAGTAACTGTCCTTGACTCAGTAGCAGTAGCAACGGTGTTTGTGTAGTCATAGCGCAGCACAAAACCCACCTTAGCTCGCTCAACATCTGGTTTGGGCGTCACTAGAAGATTAACACCAACTTTATTTGCTCGGCGCCATGCCACTACACTGAAAGGAATGAGAAAAAATGAAATTGCACTTTTTGTTTGACAAGTAGACTCACCAGGAGACATATGAACCGAGAAATAATGAGGGGGCTGCATATTTCGGCCTCTAAGTCTCCACACAGGCTTCCCTTTTTCCACCAACTAGTGTTCATTATACTACCAACACTGCATTTGCTTATACCCATTAATACAAAACACAATAGTGTACCACTGCTTAATGACCTCAGATATGTACCTGAGAAAAGGTTCAAGTGAAATTCGCGGGTTCTATCCCTGCCCGTGGTATGGTTTGTTTGCAATCGTGTCATTACGATTTCGTGAGTCAAGCCTACATTATAATAAGAGATGGGGACTGGGACAATAATATAGTACTGAATTGTCATTTCATTTTTGATGAATCTTCTTTCAACAAACTGGCCGTATCCCACCGAAGCAGAGTGGCCCTAAAGAGAAAAAACAAAAGTTTCTCTTTTTAACTTTAGTGATGTACAGCCTCTCCTCACTTAGCGACATACTCGTTTACTGACAACTCGGACTTATGACGGGTTCTCTGACCAGTAAGCATACCTAAATAATGCATAATAGAGCTGATTTCTTCTATTCTGTGTATTACAGTATACAGTGCACTACTGTATAAATATTTAAAAATATACCAGAAATGTTACAAATGGTGCAAAGGTGACATTAAAATTATCAAAGATGGTTGACACAAACTCACTACCATTATAATATGCTCCTCACTTAGTGACAAATTCGTTTACCAACGTGGTCTTAGGAATGGAACTCCATCGTTAAGTGAGGAGAGGCTGTATACAGGAGAAGGGGTTACTAGCCCCTTGCTCCTGGCATTTTAACCACCTCTTATGACATGCATGGCTTACGGAGGAAGAATTTTGTTCCACTTCCCCATGGACGTAAGAGGAAATAAACAAGAACAAGAGCAACTAACAAGAAAATAGAAGAAAACCCAGAGGGGTGTGGATACAGCCTCTCCTCACTTAACAAAAGAGTTACGTTCCTAAGATCACGTCATTAAACAAATTTGTCGCTAAGTGAGGAGCATACTTTAATGGTACCGAGTTTGTGTCACCCATCTTTGAGACTGTTTTAATATCACCTTTGCACCATTTATAGCACTCCTGGTATATTTTTATATGTTTATACAGTATTGTACTGTATACTGAAATAAAGGGAATAGAGGACATCAGCTCTAATATACATTATTTAGGTATGAATACCGGTCAGAGAGCCCGTCGTAAGTCCGAGGTGTCGGTAAACGAGTACATAGCTAAGTGAGGAGAGGCTGTAACTGTATATGCATGTGTAGTGTGACCTAAGTGTAAGTAGAAGCAGCAAGACATATTTGAAATTTTGCATGTTTATGAGACAGAAAAAAAAAAAAACAGCAATCTTACCATCATGTAAAACAATTGCAGGTTTCCGTTTTACGCTCATTTGGTGGGACGGCAGTACATCCCTGGGTGGTTGCTGTCTACCAACCTATTACCTAGGATTTTTGATGAATGTTTTTCATAAAAAAATATGAGCTCACCACAATCGTACCATATGATCACATACTAAAAGGAAATGAATTTGGTCCCAATAAACAGCTAAGAAAAAACAGGGCCGGACAAATGAAGCCAAACTACAAGAAAGGGGACTACATAGGCATGAAGAGTTTCCTGCATGGGGTTCAGTGGGACAGAACTGGCAAGGAAGTCAGTAAATGATAGAATATGTGATAACAATATGCTGAGGAGAGGTTTGTAACCAAGGGTAACATGAATAACAAAAAAGCCAGGATGAGCACTTGGTTCACCCAAGGTGCAGGGAGGCCAAAACCAAGTGTGCTAGAGAATGGAAGAAGTATAGAAGGCAAAGGACCCAGGAGAATAAGGAGAGCAGTTGTAGAGCCAGAAATGAATATGCACAGGTAAAACGGAAGGCCTAAAGACAACATGAGAATGACATAGCACCGAAAGCCAAATCTGGCCCAAAGCTGTTGTTTTCCTCCTGATGTGGCTGTATAACAGTCAAAGACCAGGTAATCAGGCTGAGGAAGGAAGGAGGGGAAGTCACAAGAAATGACTGCGAAGTATGCGAGGAGCTCAACATGAGATTCAAAGAAGTGTTCACAGGAGACAGAAGGGCCTCCAGAAAGACGGAGAGATGGGTTACACCATCAAGTGTTGGACACAATACATACAACCAAGAAAGAAGTGAAGAGGCTGCTAAGTGAGGTAGATACCTCAAAGGTGATGGGCTGGATAACATCTCTCAATGGGTCCTGAGAGAGGGAGCAGAGGCAGTGTGTGTACAACTAACAACAATCTTCAACAAACCTTTCGAAACAGGGCAACTACCTAAGTATGGAAGACAGCACGTGTAGCCCCAATTTTTAAAAAAGGAGACAGACACGAAGCATTAAAATACAGACCAGTGTCACTAACATGTATAGTACGCAAGGTCATGGAGATTATCAGAAGAGTGGTGGAGCACCTAGAAAGGAATAAGCTTATCAATGTTAGCCAGCACAGTTTCAGGGACAGGAAATCCTGCGTCACAAACCTACTGGAGTTCTATGACAGGGCGATGGCAGTAAGACAAAAGAGAGGGGTGGGTAGAGTGCATTTTCTTGGACTGTAAGAAGGCATTTGACACAGTTTCACACAAGAAATTAGTGCAAAAGCTGGAGGACCAGGCAGGGATAACAGGGAAGGCACTACAATGGATAAGAGAATACCTGTCAGGAAGAGAACAGCGAGTCATGGTATGTGGCAAGGTGTCAGAGTGGGCGCTTGTAACGAGCGGGGTGCCACAGGGATCAGTCATAAGACCAGTGTTTCTGGTATTTGTGTGAACGACATGACAGGAGGAACAGACTCTGAAGTGTCCCTTTTCGCAGATGATGTGAAGTTGACGAGAATTCAATCGAATGAGGACCAGGCAGAATTACAAGGGGATCTGGATAGGATGCAGGCCTGGTCCAGCAACTGGCTCCTGGAGTTCAACCCCACCAAGTGCAAAGTCATGAAGATTGGGGAAGGGCAAAGAAGACCACAGACGAAGTACAGTCTAGGGGGCCAAAGACTACAAACCTCACTCAAGGAAAAGGATCTTGGGGTGAGTATAACACCGAGCACATCTCCTGAGGTGCACATCAACCAAATAACTGCCGCAGCATACTGGCGCCTGGCAAACCTAAGAACAGCATTCCAACATCTTAATAAGGAATCATTCAGGACCTTGTACACTGTGTATGTTAGGCCCATACTGGAATATGCAGCACCAGTTTGGAACCCTCACCTAGCTGAGCATGTAAGGAAACTTGAGAAAGTGCAAAGGTTTGCAACAAGACTAGTCCTGGAGCTAAGGGGTATGTCCTATGAGGAGATGTTAAGGGAAATCGACCTGATGACACTGGAAGACAGAAGAGACAGCGGGGATATAAAATACTGAGAGGAATCGACAAGGTAGACAGAGACAGGATGTTCCAGAGATGGGACACAGCAACATGCAACATGGGGTCATAGTTGGAAGTTGAAGACTTGGTTGAATCAAAAGGATGTTAGGAAGTATTTCTTCAATCACAGAGTTATCAGGAAATGGAACAATCTGGGAAGTGAAGTAGTGGAGGCAGGATCCATACACAGCTTTAAGAAGAGTTATGATAACGCTCATGGAGTGGGAAGAGTGACCGAGTATTGGCTAGTAAAGAGGCGGGGCCAGGAGCTGTGACTCTACCCCTGCAACCACAAGTAGGTGAGTACAACTGAGTGTGCGCACACGCACACACACGTGCGCACACACAAGTGCGCACACACACACACACACACACACACACACAGAGTAGAACCCCCCTTACATGGCTGGTTAGGTTCCAGGCTACTGCCATGAAGCGGAAATCACTAAAGCGAATCACACTTTTTCATTTATAACTGCATATAAATGCTTCATAACATGTTTGCACTATCATATATAAAGTTATCAATAGAACTAGGCATTAAAAAAATAAAGTAAAATACACATACAGTACACTCATTACTTACCTTAAAATATTTGTAGTGTTAATGTAGGGAGAGAGAAGAGTATTTATTGTAGAAAGTCAGGTGTAGTAACTCGCCCAGCTACCACACCTACGCGAAATATGCAACTTACATTTATTATTATCATTATTATTATGATTATTATATTATTACTGTCGACATACCTTGTTCACTAAGAGAACAAGTAAATGAGAAAGACACGGATAATGTAAACAGAAGAATGCGTATTAATATCCATCCGGTTTTGGTTCGTACAAGTTTATTTCTCGTATGTTTGTGAAGCTTTTACCACAATGCAAAAACGCTTTACATTTTGTACAAGTTGTCTTCACGTTGGTGCAGTAGAATAAATAACAGCATCACTCCCATACTCATGCAACACACCATTTTAAGAGATAATGATCCTCAGAGTGAAGGCATATGAAAGGAATAATTTCCGGGGCCCGGTGGCCTGGTGGCTAAAGCTCCCGCTTCACACACTGAGGGCCTGGGTTCGATTCCCGGCGGGTGGAAACATTTCGACACGTTTCCTTACACCTGTTGTCCTGTTCACCTAGCAGCAAATAGGTACCTGGGTGTTAGTCGACTGGTGTGGGTCGCATCCTGGGGGACAAGATTAAGGACCCCAATGGAAATAAGTTAGACAGTCCTCGATGACGCACTGACTTTCTTGGGTTATCCTGGGTGGCTAACCCTCCGGGGTTAAAAATCCGAACGAAATCTTATCTTATCTTATCTTACAGTTACCCCCAGTAATGCTATTATGTACACATTTTCTCTGCTGTTGACTGGAGAAAATGTAATTTTTGCTATCACTCCAACAAGCCACCTGGCTACCACATCTCATATTTAAGTCAATTTTTTCTACTTTGGGTGTAAGTATAATGTCCATAAGTTAAGTAGCATGTTTCTTATATAATTTTGAAAAAATATTATGACTGCATCAATGAAAATG